ATCAGTTTTACCGATATTTATAAAAAAAAAAACCTCCCTACGTTAATTTTTGTAAAAATAAGGGTCTTCAGGTTTATTTTTATGTGGACATAACGATATACGACGAAGCACTCTGCATAATACATATTACATATATTTTCGTAGAGTATTAAGTTAGGATAGGTAGGTAATGATTTGTACACTGTGTGATGTAATCAAGAATCACAAGTGTTGTCTCGTGTAGTATCCGAATTGACCTTTATAATATGTATATTGTATATGTGTGTGTTATTGTATAGCAGGTTAAAACCACCCTTCGCGTTTAGTGTGTATAACTACTGTACATATATACGTGAGGGCTTTCGTCCATTTTTTTCAAGTATGAAGATGGCACGCCCCGTCAAAAAAATCGATCTAAACCCTGACAAATGGTTGGGTTTTTAAATTTTCACAACTCGTTGCGCCATGTAAAACGCTTTAAGAGCTACTTCCGTGTCGGTAACATAATTTCCGATGATAAACAAAATTGTAACATTTCCGGTGATCTTCAAATCAGATAATTTACGTGGTGTAAAAAACACAATCTTTTACGTTATGTGAATGACTTTTAAGGTTTTATTAGATATAATTTATTGTTCTCTATTTTTTTCAAATTATTTAAATATATTATAATAGTTTACAAAAAATTAAAAATGTTTAATATTATGTTGATTAAAATGTTGTACGTTGCGATTTAAAAATAATGCAAATTTATTAATCTGTTGTGCACTTTATAATCATATCCTTTCAAATAAAGAAAAAATTAAACAGGAATCATAATTGTTTTTTTGGTGGAACAAAAAATTAATAACTATAAGTATAGGTACTTGACATTTTCTCCAAACGTTTAATTTTCATTTAATACATAGAGTAGGTTAGTAAGTATCATTTTTAAAATATGTCGACTCTTTTTTAGCTATTTATAGATTTATAGACGATTGAAATTTTTGATTTTTTAGATTCTGAGCGGAGCGATGAATGTATTGGTTTTACAATGATGTATGTTTTTTTTTATTTATATTTTTATTTATATATATTTTTGTGTCTGTCATCACGTTTTAGGACAGTAAAAGTGCTTCGAATTTCTTCAATAGTACCTTTTCTGATAGGAAAGTGAATCTAGTTGGTACTTTGGGGGGTCAAAAGTAAACATTTCCCAGTAGTTTTCACAAGCGCCGGGAAAAACAACATAAAAATTAAGGAAAAACGGGAATTTTTACGCAAAATCGATTTTCCAAAAAATCGAATTTGGTTTTTGGTGTAACTCTAAACAAATGAACGTATATACATGAAATTTTCACTGGTTGTTTATATTTGCATTTTCTATACACGATAACATTTTCAAAATATTTTGATTTATTTTGAACTGTTTAGGGACATTTTCATTTTCCATTTTTTTTTAGTTTTTTTTCTAAAAATATCAATAAAATTTTATTTGTTGGTTGCGAAAGCTTGAAAATTTAATAGAAGGCTCCTAATATGTTGTTTCAAAGGCAGATGAAAAATATTAAAAATCCTTAGTCACAATTTTTTTTTTATAAGCATTTAAAGTTCAAAAATTGACAAAATATGGAAAAATCACGAAAATTAGCAAATTATTTGAGTTAAGAATTCGTAAAAATTTTTCTTTTTAAATCTAAGATTTGAAAATGAAACACAAGATTCCTTATAAGATTATCTACCTTATCAATAAAAAAATCTCTACCGGACAGTCAAATTAAATTTTTATGAGCGTTTGAAATTCAAATTTTTACAACATTGGATTTTCACTCGATTTCTCATGTAGCGATTTCCTTATTTGTTGTAATTCAAAAACGAATAACTGTAGATACATGAAAATTTCACTGAATGTTTATATTAGCATTTCCTATACACCATACAATTTTGAAAATATTTTGACTCTTTTTGAGCTGTTTACGGACATTTTCAGTTTTCAATTTTTTTAGTTTTTTTTTTATAATTGTCAATAAAATTTTATTTGGTGGGCCAAAAAGTCTGAAAATTTAATACAAGCTTTCTTATATATTGTTACAATATCAGTTGAAAAATTTTAAAAATACATAGGCACAGTTTTTTTTTATAAGCATTTAAAGATCAAATTTTGACAAAATTTATCAAAATCTCGAAAATTATCAATCATTGAAATTAATAAATTATAAAATGTTCAGTTTTATAGCTAAGGATTGCAAATTTAAAACAAAGGTTCTCATAAATAGTTCATACTGTAACCAAAAAATCTAAAAAATATATGAACACAGTTATTTTTTACAGACATTTTAAATTCAAATTTGGACGAAATTACATATTAAAAAACCTAGAATAACTATTTTAGTTATTTTGTTGTGATTGAATAATATTATTCGTGGGTACTTGAAACTTCTAAAGTGTACTATTATATATCTATGATAGTATCACGGTTTTTGTTGATGTATAACGCGTTATAAGTACCTAATGGACATTGTGATATGATTAATTTGGAATTTATTATAGGTACCTATTATAGGTCAATTTTTTGTTTAATGCCATAGATATGTATGTAATATGTCTTATACATAGACTGACATACCGACTCCGCTCAGAATCGTTTTTCTTATACAATGATATTATATCGTTGAATTCAAATTTAATATCATCCATTATACAGTGACCCACTTGTAACCTACTGTACAGCAGAGCGACACCCACTTGCCCACCTTTTTTTATTCATTTTTTTTCTATAAATATCGATAAAAAAATGTTCGAACCGACAAAAGACATAAAAACTGAATATAACGATTCTCTTATGTTGCTTTATAGCAATTCAAAAATATTTAGGCATGATTTTTTTTTAAGTTCAAATTTGGCTGAAATTCGATATTTAACGAAGATAACGATTTTCGTTATTACGTTGTTATTTAAAAATATTGTTCTCTAGGATTTGATAAGATTTGTTATATAATTGTATTGTATGTACACATTGATATTTTAAAATATTTAGATTATTTTTACGCTATTGATTATTAATAATTATAGTCATACCGTATTACTAATAGTAAAATAAATTAATAAAAATATATTTATTTGATAATAGGGTGTCAGATCGCCTCCGCTCAGAATCGTTTTTTATATGTAATTATTTATCATTGAATTCGAATTGAACGCTTTTATAAGAGTGACCTACTCAATGATATGAGGTACACTTGCTTCCCACTTTACAGAACAGCTGTTATATACTTTCCCCTTTTTTATTATTATATAATAAATGAATTTCGTGCTTTAAATACTAAACAAAATAGTACCTAAATAGTACTGTCTTCATAGGCACAATAATATTTGCGTCAAGTTCTAATCTTGTTTTCAGTACTATATTTCCCCGTATGTGATGTGTATAAGATACTTTTGCAAAATGCGTAGGTCACATATTATTCATTAAATTTGTATTTATTATATTATTTTTGCTGACATGTTTTTCTTATCTCTCAAAATTTTATTAAAAACAAGGTATTTTTATCGGTAATTCAACACCACGTATATTCTACTCATAATTTGAAAACAATTGCTAATTAGACTATAATATAGTAGGTACCTATATAATAATATAAAGGTAGGTACTGCTGAATGTTCGACCGTTTAAATTCTTCGTTGTCATATTATCATGTTCTAATTTCATACTGCCAGAAATGTCCATGAAATACAAACACATTGTTTATTGAAAACAAAAAATGTAGATAGGTACACTACAATAATTAAACATTATTTTCGTGCTCTATCATGAAAGATAAATCTTTTAAGAAAGGTTTTTTTTATCTGATTTCTATATCGAGTTCTAGCGTACAATGTAAATACATTCCACCACGAACAATTGTGTACACAAATCATGAAATTGTTTATAATACTATGTATTAGGTTTCACATTTATTTTCTAGTGTTCATGTTCACTATAGAATTATAAATATACTTACTGAAGTCTAAGATACATAAGAGACCTTGATTTTCGAAAAAAAATTTCAGTTAACTTATAAAGATATTTTTGAATTTGAATTTTTTTCAAGTAAAAAAAGTATAGAGAATTTATTAAAAATAGGTTTTTCATCTATGAGAATATATTTCATGAGTCCTCTCATATAAAATAATCTTAAATACTTCTAATAAAAACAAAACTTTTGCTTGCATACATCTATTTTCATATTTTTTGCTTCCTATTCGATTTCCTCGCCTTGAGCCTGAAACTGAATATGTAGATAGGTACATTACAAATACTATCTAAATATCATCAATTTTAATATGATCTATAAAATGTTTTATTAGATGCATTACTATATTCTCAGTCAAGTATCTTAAATAGTTCTATATTTGTAGAACTTTTGATTATTCCAAACCGGGTTTTATATAATATATAATTTTCAATCTAATTTATACGTGCATTTCATCGTAAAAACACGAATTAAATTTATTGGCATGTTTAAAAATTTCTCAGTGACCCCTCCCACGTAACTTTGACTCTGTGTGCTGTGGACAAATCATCAAAAGTTGGCCAGAAAAATCTAAAATCTGATTTTATTAAAATAACAAATAAATACACTATAAACATCAATATTTATTGAACTATTATAATCTTATTTTCATTTGCATTTAAAAATATACAATTATTAGTCTGAAATGTAAAGTGCAACAAATACAATTGAACCATAATAATATTATTTTTAACCAGCTATATAGTTTTAACTAGCGTCAGTTAGGTTAGTAGTATATTTTATTATTAAATCAGAATTAAAAATCAATGTTGTATGACTGCAGATTTGCAAAATCTGGTAATTCTGTATCTGTGAGATGGGTTGTAGTGTGTCAGTGTGTGAAATTGTGAGATGGATTCCTAAACAGAGGAAAAATGATTTTTTGATTTTCATATACCTACACACGTTAATATCACCTATGCTTTTCTCAATATTTATATCTAACAGTTAGAACACCTAAGCAAACCTAACACATTGATGTATCCTCAGGACCATATCGCAGTCGACCAACGCTGGTGCTTATGCCACCGAAATAACCAACACAAATATAGAAAGCGACCAATTTTCGGACGGTATCTGTTGTTCCGCCGACGCCAAGAGCACAATAAAGACATTGTTGGATTTCTCTCTACTTAAAGACCCCGTATTCATACTGTATACAATATCCAACTTCTTGACGAGCATTGGCTTCAACATACCGTACTTGTACTTAGTGGTGAGTATGTATATAGACTACTAAAATACCTGTACTTGTTGGTGAATATATTATATACACTGTCGTGTGTATATAGCAGGTACGCATTTCTATGCATATTTATGCATTAATTTTAGTCGTCACGGTTTAAATATTCAATTTTTGGAATATTCAAAAAACTTAATATTGATTATCTTAAAATAATAAATAATTAACAAAAATATTTTATGTGATTTACATTTATTTAATAACTATAACTGAATAATAAGTCCGTATGCTATTGATTTGTATTTTGTATATATTTAATAAATAGTATAAAACCTTAGAATTAAAATTGCAATTAAATTGAAAAAATTGTATTTTTTTATTGACATTTGAAATGTAATTAATAACATAATTAAATTTTTAACATTTTATTAGTTCGATTTGTGACACGAAACTGTTAAGAGGACCACCCCGCATGTCTTGTCTCCGTCTTACAAATGTACAACATAGCAAAAACTGTTTCTCGTACCATATTTGTTGTAGAACTACCAAATTTTCACAACACGTAAAGAAGAACTTTATATGTGGAACAGCGTGACCATATTTTAGATAACGTAAAAAGTTATTTGCTTCTATATTATGCATTTTTTTTTTTATTTGCTTATAAAAAATGATTGGATGGTGCTATTAAAAAAAAAGCACGCTGTTGCACAGATAAAGTTGTTTTTACGTGTTGTGAAAATTTGGTAGTTTTACAACAAATATAGTGCGAGAACAGTTGACCCGCGCATAACAGTTTTTGCTATGTTGTGTATATTTTGTAAGACGGAGACATCACATGCGGGTGTGGCGTTCTCTTAAGTGTTGAGTTCATCGGTATAAAGTTTCGTTTTACTTCTTAGTATTATTATCAATCACCATCTACAGTAAAAACAGCGATCTATATGTGATTATTTTTCTGATTAATATTATTGCATGTTTCAGCCCCAAGCCGGCATGATAGGCATAGCATCGAAACATTCAAGTTACCTGTTGGCCTTGTTGGGCATAGCCAACACATTGGGAAGGATCATACTCGGATTTATATCGGACAAACCGTGGATAAACAGGCTCATGGTGTATAATCTGTGTTTAACGGTTTGTGGTATAGGTAAGCGTACATTTATTATAAACATTTTTCTCGCTGACAAATATGACCGTCGTAGTTAGGACTTCGGGGTGCAATGTGCATTTGAACAAATGCATGAAAATGAGGTCGCGTTAGACGTGACATGTTGGCAACGTTATAATATAACTTCTCCAAACAAGGCCGTCATGGTGGAGTAGTGTTAATGTGATATTTGAAGTCTTGACAATGCATATTGAATTATTATTATATTGAATTATCAATTATGTTATTCTATTCTATTAACATGCGCGTGTTTAGAATAATATATAGATAATAAAAACATGGCAGGACATAACGTCTTATCAGCGGTGATTAATGATTCCTATATTGAGGCTAAATAAGTGAGTATACCTATATCGAGTATTGACAAGCAATATATAAATATCCAATCATATTATACAAAAATGTAAACACGTCTTCAATCTGTTACCACCTTACGGCCCCAAAAATATAGAAGTCTCAATCTACGATGTCCCATCCATGTTTTTATTATCTATTGAATAGAACGACATCAGCTTGGCGTTTGTTGCCTCTATCTTATTTATTCGCTATTGTTCGACTTTCGTACCATATTACTATCGCATTTGTCGCCTTGTAGCCAAAAACTGTTCGCTTGACTGCTGAAGCGTTATGCTTATAAGTTTTTCCAACATTTCAATTTGTTTAAAATAGTTATGAGTAACTCATGACTAAGTGATAATTAATTGTACATTTGTACGTATAAGTTGGTCATTATTTTAACACCTATTCATTCCGTACAATATAATATGGTGTGCTCACTTATATTGAATAGTTATAAAGTTATAATATTTGGTTTGATGTACCTAGTAAAAATATTTTTCAACATTTTTGAATTGGTTTTTCATAAATATTTATTTTGGAACTTTTTTTGGCCTAACCATTTTCATGGATAAATAGTAATATTTTACAACGATAAATATTATTATTTAATTCCGGGTCAGTTGAAATTTGTCACCTTCATGGGAAAATAAAAATGCTTTAATATTCAACTTTGAGGGTGGTTTCTAGTAGCAAATTAGCTTTATAAAAAAGATTTATGTTTTGGGGAGTAAAAATAAAATGTTCCGAGATCTTTTAAATATAATAATTGGGAAAAACTAAAAAAATTCGGAAAAATGGAAGTAGATATTCAATAAGGACTTGATATTTATATTAGCCCTTTCTAAACATGATTCAATATTCGAAATATTTTGCGTAACTCAATTTTTTAGCAAGTTATGCGTATATTATAATATAGCGTAAATTAAAAACTGAATAGTTGGTACTCTAATTTTTAAACTAACGGAGCTAAATGTGATCCGCCGAGCGTAAAATATTTGCTATGTGACGATAAGGATTCGTACCTACCAGATCTTAACCAAACACTCATTGCAGTATTATCTATAATTTATAATATTATGCTACAAAATATGTTTTTTTTTTGTTTGTTTCATGGCGCAGCTACAATGCTGAGCACATACTGCACGGACATACTCTCGTTATCCTTGTACACGATCGTTTTCGGATCCACAATCGGTGCGTACGTGGGTCTTACGTCGGTTATCCTGGTGGACCTGCTGGGCCTGGATAAATTGACAAACGCTTTTGGAATCCTGTTGATGTTTCAGGGCATTGCCTCGCTCGTCGGACCACCCATAGCCGGTAACCCATTTAGTTAATTCGTTGCTCATTGTATATTATATTATTATGTAAACACGACGATCGATAATATATTATAATAATGAATAATGATATGTAGGACCTTCCAAGTAGGTGCGTCTTCATACTATATCTATTATGCGTTCAGGGAAAACGTTAATCCCGCCTCAAGAATTTTAATGTAAATCCATTAAGAAAACGCCGGTGCGGTATAAGTTCTTGTGACGGGTGCGCGTGATATAATATATTATCATACATTAAACCTCAATGATTGTTTATTGTCGGGCGATATTAGTTAGCTGCATCAGTGGCCCAATGCACTAGGACATCGTCGTACCGTCATATAATACTATGGTATTATAGGTAGACGTTACTTCTAAACTAATTTAATATTAATTACAACGGAGCTTAAACAAAAGTATATGTCAAATACCGATACATTCAATCCCATAATATGTATGACATATGTCCTGAAACTGTTTATGTCTATACCTATTATTTCGGGTAATATACTGAAATTCTCTTAGTAAATACATAATTTGTTGCGTCTAGGTTAAAGAGAAAAATATTTTCGAAATAATTTTGTAGGTCATTTTATAAAATGTAGTCTAATGAAGAAGTTATAAAGTTTAACTCGTTTTCTCACTATTATAGTATTATAATACGTACTATATAACTTCTTCCTTAAGAGGATGTCACTATTTGTTTTTCTCTCTGGCCAACGCGCAGCATAGACAAAACGCATTAACGCAGAATCGTTTTTTCCATATTTTTAAGAAATCTTAAAATCACCTATTTGACAAATGACAGAGAATAATTCTTTTGAGAGAATGACATCGATTTATATTTTATTGTTATTCGACTTTTTATTCGGCTTTAAAAATAAACAAGAAAATGTTGTACCTACATTTACTTAAATTATGTTTAAATTGTTTTAAGACGATATTTAGACTTTTCGATATGACATTCCCTTAAAAATATTATTCTCTATCTTTTTTGTAATGAGTGATCTTACTCTAAGATTACTTAAAAACATAGAAAAAATGATTCTGCGTAAATGCGTTTTGTCTATGGGCCAATGAGAGAAAACAAATAGTGCGCTCACATCCTCTTAACAATTATGTATTATTATTATTGAATCTTAAACCATTTCATTCCTCTAAAAATAAAAATATGTACTAAGTCAGAAATTTAATGTTTTAGTGATGAAGATAAAAAGTTATGGTGGTAATAAAAATATTCAAACTTGCTGATTTTTAAGCTGCAGCACGTAATAAAAAATATTATGTCAATAACAATTTTGACCAGAGAAAGAAATAATTTCCGATTTGGTGGGGGAGGGGGGACAAACACGCTATAGGTATATATTACTTATATAATATTATATACCTATCCCACTATTTTATAGTATAATATTATATGAGCAGACATCACTCCGACGCGGTTTGGTATATCGATATCCGATGAATAATATCGATCCTTAGAAAAATATCGATGGCCGTTCATTGATCGCTTCGTGCTTTATACAATTATACCTATTAATAACTATAGCCTATAATATTACGATATTGGAATAGAAATATCACACATCAATATCGATATTTAAACGCGCCTATGTAGTATGTATAATATTTAATAACTGTTTGATTTTTTTCATTTGTGTAGGGTGGCTGTTTGACATAACGGGCTCGTACAACCCGGCTTTCTACCTTTCGGGATCGAACATCGCCGTAAGTGGTTTGATGCTGTTCGTCATACCGTACGTCCAGCGGCAGTGTGAACGGAAGGAACTCGAGAAAATGACTGCAGTAGTAAATAATAATTAACACGTAATGACAGACAGACACACACACAATGTACTCCTATACGAATTGTTATAAATGTTACGTTATATGGGAAATTATTTTTAAAAAAAAAAAAGAAGAAAAAAATCATCGACACAAATCATATCTATTATAGTTAATAGTTAATACTATGTACGTTAAAACGTGCCCCCAGGAGTATGACGCGCAGAGGGCGTTTATATTTTGTATTTTCATTATTTATTTATTTTCTCTGCCCCGCGGGGAGATTTCGTTGCCGCGTTCTTCCTGTTTCGATTTTTGCTCAAAATATATTTTATATGAATAATGATATAGGCTTACATTTAATATTATAGATATTTCGTCGTTTTTAGTTTAAACCTCGAATTTGTGTTCCAAGCGAGCAGGCGATGACACGTTGCGATACACGAATATAATATATAATAAATATATACTTAAGTTTTATTTTTCTGTTTCGTTTAATTATTATACATTCGTCTCGTGATTTATATATTACGAATTTTCCGATTTCTTTTGTTGCTGATTTTTAACGAACTGATTTTTCGCATTTACCGAATATCGATTGAATTTTTCAATTTTATAAGTGTTTAAGCCGAAACTACGTGTATTTTTCAAAGGACCAAAACACACATAATATTGTATTATATAAACTATTGTACCCATAATACTAATTAAGGTGAGCGATTATAAAATAACTAAATGACCGAATAATCTGTTGAAATTAATAATAATCATCGAATAGTTCCAATTAAATATTAATCAACGTTGTAAAATCTATCGGGAATCAAATTATTTTAGATCGGATCATTAATGTTTTGATGGTTTTCGACGGTGAAAAACTAAACCATTTTTACCGGTGATTTTATTTTGTACCTATTCGATTGATTTTTTAATTTATTTCCTGGAAAACCGTAAACAAATTATCTGATTGGATGATCCCCAACTAATTCGATAAACATAGTAATGATTTAAAAAATATTTTAATCTTTAAAAAAATCAATTTTGTTTATATAATTTACACGCGATGTTTCAATAAATCGGTATGTCAATATTCTTGTGTAGTATTTAATAATATAATAGGTACTTTATGGCTTATACCTTCATAATATTACAATATACAATATACAATATAAAATAAATATATACATTATTATGTTATAAACATTATTGATAAAATTAAGTATAATATATTTCTGTGTACAAAAATATGTTTGCGAGTGACGTTTTTGATGATATTTTGTGGACGACCGCACGTCTGCCTAAGACGTTTTAGTAATATAATTCTACACATAACCTGTATAGAGCACGCGAAAAGACCATTTCCCGAGACAGTTGATTACGAGTTTTTCACACGTATAGTAATGTAATATAAGTAGCATCAACATTCTCTTAAAGATTTTTTTTTTTTCGGGAAACATTTCAGGAAAAGTTTATTTTAACATGCAAGTGACCTACGCATTACACAAACTCTCACGCTCGTTCTTAACTTTGTATGACTAGATATTAATCGGCAAAAAAAAAAAATTATAAAATAAAAATTTTTCTGTTTCGGGGACACCAGAGTGTTGATTTGTCAAAGACGAGTATTACTAAACAGTATATTATTATTATTATTAATATTATTTAATATTTATTATTATTATTATTATTATTATTTTTTTTTAATTATTATTATGATTATAATTTAATATTTATATAAATTATATCGCGGTCGTCCACGCAATTTGACAGTGCGTACAGTATGGTACAAACTCATGTTTGCTGTCTGAGCAACTTATTAATGTATTATTATTACTATTATTACTACTATTATTATTACTATTTTTTTTTTTTGTCCCATTAGAAAAATGTGTCACTTATTAATGTTTTAAACCGTCAACGTAGTTAAACTCAACAATATATTATGTCCTTTAGTTATTTTAATTTATATATTTTTGTTACACGATACAAAATCAAAGAAAAAAAAACTGAGGCCAATTATTTAATGTTAAGTATTAACTATGTATATAAGGAGTTATTGTTACCTTAAGCATCATGATGTGAAGGAATATTTTTAATAAACACTTTTTCGATGTACAAAACTACGTTTTGCTCTCTATCTGTGCAACACATGCCGTCAGCTAGGTTACAACATTTGTTAGGACGCCAAACTGGGACAAAATACCTACAAAAATCGATAACACCAATGATTGTAGTATGTATAAAACGATTAATGTTGAATTTTAAAATTTTAACTTATAGCTTTAATAACTTAAATACTTAATACCTACTAATTACTATTGACAAAAATCAAATTATATTTGTGTAGGAAAATTGAAAAATTCACGTAAAAATACTAAAATGTAGTACCTATACACAAATTATTCATAATAATGTGGAATCTTGAAGACAGCTGTAGGCATGAATAATATTTCTCAGTTACATTATAACAAGCATTTACCAATTACAATCAAAATTTATTTTATTTTTATCAATAATTAATTTAATTTCAATTACCTACCTAGTTATTGTATTTAAATGTGTTTTTTAACTGTCCATTACTAGAAAATAGTAAATGCTATTATTGTATATAATGGTAATCTCAAATATTTTAAAATGTACTATAATAGACAAATATTTATAATAAACATTAAGCTAAAATAAGGTTATTTATTTGTTGAATAAATCATAACATAATATTATTAAAATGGGTATTACCTTAAAAAAAACCGTTCATTGTATACTGTTTACTGATAACAAAATAATCGCGTCAACACTATAATCATTTAAGACTGTTCACAATACTAGACAAAGGCCTTGAATTAAATCTAAATCCGATTTCAGATACCGACTTAAGTTCATCGTTCTGAAGTAATTTTAATACGGAAAATGTATCACTATTATGTTGAAGCATATCACTGAGTACATTTAATATTGAAGTTACCAAATCTTCGATGTCACTATTGTTTGGATCCTATTTACATGCATATTTAAAACAATCATATTTTAAAAGACAAATTTAAAAATAATTACCTTGAAGTTTTTGAGGCAAATCATTAAAACCTTGTATATTGTATCTATAGGCAAATTAATGGAATGTCTTTCATTCATATGATTGGAACTATCAAATTCATCGACCATAATGTTTTGATTCATTATTAAGCTGATGGCTTTTATTAATCCCATAATCGAGTGGTTGTCTTTGCATAGAGCTAGTAACATTGCAACATAATCTAATTTCCCATCGATAGAAAAAGTTTTAAATAATAACTCTTTGATTTTTATAAATCGAAAACAAATTGAAGGATTTGGTGGTAACATTTTTTGATACCACAGCAAAACCGAATCAAATTCATCCTTATTTATGGTACCTGAAAATTATAAAATTAGCTACAAGTAAAAATAGCCAACACAAAATAGACACCTTCTGTATAATTTTGATTAGGATTTTTTTCTCTTTTTTTCTCTAATTCCAAATATTGGTTTTTAAGATATAACAAATCTTCAATATTAGGATAAGGAAGTTCCAAACAATGTAATACAAAATCAGACCAATCAACATAGTTGACATTGAATCCAAACATGGTACGTAGTACATAATTACTTGTATTAAACCACCTATTAACCACTTAATATTAAAATTAATATTTCATTAATATTTATTCATTTTTAAACACTATTTACTCAATTTCAGGATGATGTTTTAAGTAGGTTTTTAGCAAACTGGAAAGTGCAACCAAAGAAATACGTCTATTTGGACAAATTGCCACTAATTGATTTGTAATTTTCTTTAAATTATGAATAGTTACAATACACTGATCTTCAGGTTCTAATAAAGGAAAGGGATGGGGTGGAGGGTTACTTGGCTGCAGAACATTGTCAGCATTCAAATAAAAATTATTGTCGAAAAATACAATTTCATGCCGAACATATTGTTTTTCATTTATAGCAGCTTCAAATAAATTACATATACAATCAATTCCAAAAAGCTCTTTTTGTAAACAATCATCTATTCTTCGATTCATATCTAATTGATACTGCACGATATAACTTTCCATTTCCTATTGTCAGATTACGTAAACATTTAATTTAAACATCTAAAAATATTTTATGTTTGTGCAATGTCTTGCAAAAAAGAATAACCAAAAAGAGTACATTATAAGAAAATCACCTTAATATCCTCATAGAATCTATTTAATATCAATTTTAATTGATCAGCTGATCTAAAATTCTCCTTATCTATCAAAAATGTCCATATTTTCAAATACACAGAACTGCTTTCTAATGGACTTACACTATGGATTTTCTTCATTTCTGCTAACCATTCATATGTGAGTTTTAATGTAGCTCTGAGCTTATTATTAACCATATTTAGAGTGGCATCAAACCATTTAAAATAAAATTCAACACTTGCAACTTGTTCAACCCCCTTTGCTTTAAATTCTTGATCTTTCGATAATGTAACTCCAATATGATTTGGAATTACTGATGCAGTTAACTTTTTATTGTATACTTTAGACATGTATGAATGAATGAAAAGTATTGTATTCACTGTCCGATCAACCTAATTGAATAAAACCAGTGTTAAGTAATTTTTTTTTCAATAATACACATAATATTTAACAAACCTCTGTTTGTAACATATGCTTATAAACTAGAATCATTGAATTCATTGTATTATCCAGCCTTTTATCAATGTTTTCATTTCTTATAAATTGCTTACAATCTTTTATTTTCTGATTTGTCAATTGTGTTAAGATAACTCTAGTATCTGCCACAGTTGAAATCAATTGTCTAATCAAATCAGGCATCATTAGTGCATCATTCGGTATTTTTAACAAATCAGATTGTAATGCTTTAACTAGCTCTATTTTTTCTATATTTTGTTGTTTTAGTATTTCATTAATATAATTGTTAATTGAAGACATATAAGGCATTTGGTTAGAAATAAGTATTCTTCTATTAAAGAAACACCATTTCATGTTCTGAATAAAATTTTTTTCCATTGATATCCAAAACTGTAC